TCCTGAATTTGTACAATTCCCTAACTTTTTTTTAAAGTGAAAAGAGATAATTATATCACAAACAATTTAAAAAGGAAAGTGTTTTTATAAGTAAAAAAATTCTTAAAATTTAAGGACTGTTAAATACTTAAACAGTTCATTAATGCCATTGGATTTAAAAACTTGTAAACACATTAAAAAGAAATCCACCACACATTTCCTTAGATTTTGGATGGAAAATTATTTAATCACTTTGCATTTTTGTGCAAAAATTATTAAAACCTTTACGAGTTAAACTGTAATCTTGAAGTGGACACACAAAAGATAAGAATTTCATGTGTGCAGTCCCCCCCCCATGTCGCAGTCTTACAGCTGTTGCAAAATGTCAGACAAATGTATGATATTGCAAAAGCAATAATTCATTCACTTATGCCGCCACCTGACATTGCAAGAGTCATAACTTCAGGACCAGTGTCAAGAGACTTTAGTGACCTACACTGCATATCCCATCAAAACATCTCAGTTTCAGGAAGGCTTATGGAAAAATGATCCTGTGGCTTCTCTGATATAGTTTCAATTATAACAAATCAGAGAACATAAAATACAACCAAAAACTTTAAGAGGGTGTGACTAATTCAATGTGCAGACTATCTCAGAATACCCTTAACTCTCAGCTAGAGAAATGCTTGTCACTAGCAAGTTCTTCACACAATCAGGACAATAACTTTGCTTACAATAATTGTCTCAATGCCTTCAATTCCATTACGTATTGTTAAGAGAGTATAGATTTATAATAAACATGTTTTAGTTCTATATGCAGTAAATAATATGCAACCTAAACAAATTAAAACTAGCTAGACACCAATCCTTACATGAAGTCAGCCACAGCCCACGAGTCAGCCCCATCAATGCAACCACTGTCAATCCCCCATCTACTTTAGCAGTCCCACAGGTGCATTATTATTTATTTCTTCAATTTTCTTTTGGTTTTTCCTGATTTCTTCTGGAAGAAACCCAACCCTGCATAGTAAATTTTGTGATACATAAAATATAAGTAGCAGGGGGGAAAAAACCTCAGTGTATGTGAAACATTGAAAATAATACTATGCCCTTTTAAAAGTAATTATATTAATTAAAAATATCATGCCCTTTTAAAAATAATTATCAAAATTATATTGTCCTGGACAGGCATAAAAAATTCTTGTCACTTTACTTTGAAAGAAATTTTCATTTCATGTGGTCCAAAGGATAAATACTACATAAAACTTTTCAGTTATAGAACAAAAACTTAAAAAACATTTTGCTTGTTAACAATTATTTTTAAAACATTTGTTTCATTTATAAATGAAATATAATTTAGCAACGAAATTTAATTTTTTAATTTTACACTTTACCATTAGATGCTTAATACTTTATAGCATTATTAAAACCATATGTGTAAAAAAAAATTAGTGAAATTGGAAGACACATACACTGCTCGCATTTATTTATGGGCAGTTGTGTTTTCTAATTTTATATGCATAAATTAATTACTAAATATTAGTAAAATGACTGGTTGATCTTTACATTATGGTAACTTGGCGTTTTTTTGGTGAAAATTTGGAGACCAACTCTCCTACAGCAACCCTCTATTTTTTTTTCCCGCCGCCATTTTGTCTTCACGAAGTAAAACATGTTTCTTTTCTTTTTATCTACTGACACTTCTTCCAACAATCTACTAGCCGAATTACACTTATGCTAGAAATTTTATCTACAAAACTGCTTAATCATGACAAATATTCACTGCAAAATTGGGAAAAAGTGCACAATACCATACTCCTTACGCGTTTTTCAAAATAACACATACACATAAACCATGTACACGCCGACTTATTTTTACTTAAAAAAACATCCAGAATTGCACAAAAATGGCATTGCGCACACTCTTCACTATATCCATACACTGCTTTTTTCTCATAATTAGAAAAATTTCACTAAAATACATGACAATTTTCTCAATCTTTAAACCCGGTAAAAGAAACATATATGAAATTACCTGCATGAAAAAGTATTTACCCCTTTCCAAATATGAACATTTCCACATATAAAATAAATAAATATCCAAAACTTTATCTCTAAATCATCTATTACATTATACACGTCACCAACGAATTCATACTGCAAGCATTACAAATACTTAGTATCAATATTTAAATTATTCCATGCACGTTTATTCAACTAAACGTATACCAAATTCCTACAAACATAAAATTCACAAAATAACTATCATTTAATAAAATATCACTAAACCATGTACACGTCGACTTATTTTTACTTAAAAAAAATCCCAGAATTGCACAAAAATGGCTGCGCACACTCTTCACTATATCCATGTAGTGCTTTTTTCTCAGAAATTAGAAAAATTTCACGAAAATACAAGACAATTTTCTCAATCTTTAAACCCGTAAAAAGAACATATATGAAATTACCTGATCGCGAAAAAGTATTTACCCTTTCCAAATATGAACATTTCCACATATAAATAAATAAAATTCCAAAAACTTTTACCTCTAAATCATCTATTATATTATAAACGTCACCCACGAATTCATACTGCAACCATTACAAATACTTAGTGTCAGATATTTAAATTATTTCCATGCACGTTTACTTCAACGAACGTATACCAATTCCTACAACATAAATTCACAAATAACTATCATTTAATTAAAATATAATTAAATTCAAAACACACTTAAAATATAAATGAGCACATACATTAATTAATAAAAATTACCTACAATCCTAATTACTTTAAACTAATCATTGCTAATAACAATTTCCCATAATAGCAAATTCCTTTACTTCCACCTTACATTTAGAACAATGCATAAAATAATAACTTACCTATCTTCTTTAGAATCTTGATTACGTGTCCGATAAACTTTTCTTTAGTTACGGCCATGGGATCCAAAAATTCACGAACACTGTTTCACGCAACACAGAATAAACCAATACAAAATTTCAGATTTTTTCCCGATTTCCCCCCTTTTCCGATTAAAGAACCGTAATTCGTCCATTAATATCACATGACATATCCCATGATCTCTCATTTCCCTCACACAAAATAATGCATAATCGGAACTGAGTACTGCTCACATTATTACCAAAGTCCCAGGTAGTAACCTTTATCGCCTCGAAAATGTCGCCAAACTACCAGTTACCATATTGTAAAGATCAACCAAATGACTTTATTTTTCTTTGACATATAGTATTGATCATCTATTTTAAAACCTGCTAGTTTTGAAAAATGTTATTCAAAATGTTTTTTAGTAGAAAAACTTATTCATCCAAAAAGTTCTGAAAATGAACTCATGTAAATATTCGGGCACTTTGAATAAAGTTTATATTTAATAAAAACATGAAAATAATGGGACATTCAATATTGCATTGGATATTCTTTATCTAAACAATTTTAATGCACTCTGGTATGGATACAAATTTTTTTGTGCAAAATCTTTTTATTTTCCATTCCTCCATAAGAATTGCTTTTTATAGAGCTTTCAAAGGAGTATTATGTTTCTTTATTCTTTTCTCGAACTCGCTCCATCCATGTCCCTTAAGATTTAAGTCTGGAAAATATGCAGAAGTTTTGATAACCTCAGGACAGTTGTAAAATAACCAAGAGGAAACGTTCAGGCAGTATGTTTAATTCTGATAACGTTAAATTCTGATGGAGCTTAAATGTATTTTGCAATCGAAGTTTTCTAGCAGATGCTTTTAAGATTTCGTTATAAATATTTATTTATATACATTAACCCACATTTTTTTTATAAACACCAAATTTCTTAATTCAAAACATCCAAACAATTATGCCACTATATCCCCGCACAACAGCAGTCAATAGGTTTTTCAAATTTAATTCTTAATTCGACTCTCGCCACATATTAATTCATCTGTGAGACCCAAATACATTAAATTCCGACATTTCTGCAAATATAACTTTGTTCAAATACGATAAAATTTTGCTTACTATAGATTTTACAAACACCACACATATTTTTCTTGTTTCTTCCCAATGAAGAATTTCTTTTTTGCTGATAACCCATTGTAGCCATGCATCCTGCATGACTCCTCTATCAGCTTTAAGAAGTTTTACTCCAAACCATTCTTCTAAATCTGCTCAATATTTTAGAGTACTAATTTTTAGATCATGTTTTTTTTTTTTTTTTTTTTACAATAAATCTGCAATTCCTTGGTTTTAGCTTGGAATGTGGCTCAGACTTAATGTATTTTGAAAAGTTCGATACAATTTTTTTTCCTTTTATAACATAAATTCAGTTAAACGCTTTACATAATGGATTTTTTTGGATATTTCAAATACTTTTACCATCTTTGAAAAGATGAATCATAAATTTCTAACAGAACTGGTGGTTAATTTGCAGACTCTTTCCATGTTTACTTCAGATTTAGAACTTATATTCTGCTAAATAAGTAATAAATTACAAATGAATATTATAGTGATGTATTTCTATTTAAAACAAAAAATTATAACTACAAAAACTGTCAGCCAAAGCATCTCAACAAAAATTTGAACTTCCGAATTATTACGCGAGTTCATTAACACCTTTTGAACAAATTGTTTTATTACAAGGAATATTTTGATGGTATTCATTTTACACAGCAAGTAAAGATTGAAAAATATATATATTAGGGGAAAAATTTAATTCTTTCAACATTTAGTACAAGATCTATGAAAATAAATTTAAAAAATACATGTGTATGAAAACAAATGTAAGCCACTGTAAACTGTTCAGAATTATTACTACAATTACAGAAAGAAATTCACAAGAAATTTTTGGAATATAAGTTTCCCGGTATCATATAATTCCAATTAGTCAACCCAAAAAATTTACAAAACTTTTCCTTCATTGCTACTATGCAGACGGGCTAACAGAACTGGAACAAAACAGATATTATAAAATTTTATAAATTATAATTAAATAAGCAGAATTCTACAATTCGTTATAAAAAAGTTATACCTATCTTACTTCGAAGATTAAAATTCTTTAGTAGCATTTCCAATTTATTAGACCAACTCATCCTATTTCCCGAGTTTCGGCAGACGAACTGTGACACCGAGCAATTCGTATACCGTGTCATATCGTTCTGCTCCTATGTTTGGATATGTAGCCTTGGCTATTAATGTTTAAAATTAATTTATGATTAGTAACAGCATGAATTATAAACAAATAGCTAAGTTTATTGCATTTTATTTTCCAGCTATCGAAATGCGACGATAATAGTACAGCAATGTTTGGAAAACAAAACCAAGCAATCATGAATCAGAACTAGTTGCAATTCAGCATAAAGAAATGTAAATATAAATATAAACTACTTGTTGCCATTCAGCATAAAAAATATAAATATGAATATTAACAAAATATTAAAGTTAATTTTACACACACAGATCGTATTTTATTCTCGAGTGTCAAGATGTAGAAACATCTTTTTACTCGACTTCTGATAAGGATCGGGTTGGGGAGAGAGAGTAGGGTGAAAGGAGAGTGGGTAATTATAAAATAACTAAACACATGAAAAATATAAGGAATAAGAAATAAAAAATAATTATTCCTCATGCAGTACTTGGGCCACTACATTACTCCCCCAACAGTAAATAAGTTACGTTACGAAGATGGAGAAATAGGTAGTAACTAGGATTGCAGTGTTAACCACTAATTAATAAGAATAATTTACACAGATCGTATTTTATTCTCACACAGATCGTATTTTATTTTATTCTCGAGTGTCAATATGTAGAAACATCTTTTTACTCGACTTCTGATAAAGATCGGGTGGGGGGAGAAAGAGAAGGGTGAAAGGAGTGTGGGAGGTGGATGAAAGAGAGTGAGGTCCGCACTAGCGGCGGCGAAAAAAGGGGGGGTGTCAAGTTCAGTGTAGTTATAAGATGTAACCGCAGGTGGTAAAACCGCAGAGTCAGTTTTGAGTGAATGAGTCAATTAAGGTTGTGATTCTTATGTGGGAAGGATGTCACAAGGGTAACGATGTTTTTCTCTGGGACGTGGGGAGTGTCTGAGAGTGCTAATAAGGCTATTACTGTTTGTACTAAATAAAAGAAGTTGACCGCTAATCGTTTAATATACTCTTGAATAAGTTCGGTTCGAAGGTCTCTGTGAATATAGATGTTGGGAATATACCAAGGAACATTCATAATTTCTCGTAGAATTTTATTTTGTAGAATTTGTAAGTTTTTGGTCAAGGGTGACTCGAAGGTTTTTAGTTTCATTAATCCAGTCTATGTCTTCGTCAAATATTT